AAAACTAGTGTGTGTTTAATCAGTCATGTGTGAATATTGTCAACCGCCGTAATATGAAACCTGAATTATCTAGACATTATGAATGTAACCATTTTTGACAAGCATTTGAAGTATTAGTTTCATGAAGTGTAAATGAACAAGCCTACGTCGTCGGACTGAGTCAACAAATATCTATCGACTTTAAACGTATAAATATGAATAAGGTCAACTGTATCAACGGACATTTACAATGTTATTATTATTTAATTTCCTTATTATTATTATTATTATTATTATTATTATTATTATTATGTCAATTTACAAGATTCAATTCTTGTACTATGTATTTCATTGACACCAATTTTTTTGCATTTTCAATTTTCCTATTATGCTTAGTCACTTACTGTGACTGAACACTTTACTGCAAATCATCCCGATCTTTAGTGAATGACCTTTTTAATTTGTAAACATATATATCGTTACAGATGTAAACGTTAACCATTGTTAACACATTACATTGTCAAGTTCATTAATGCCATGCCTTATTTTTGGACTTTATAAAATATTAAAATTATGGACTAATAACTGTATAGTGTGATGATGAAGTTAATGAAAACGATTGTTTGCTAAATTATTTTTTATTTTTGAATATTTTAAGGGAATTTTTAACTGGTACAATGTGATTGTACCAGTAATAAATAGTTGAAGAGGTGTGCAAATGAATACGGTGATATAATCAGTAGTTATGAATAACAATGGAGGCTTAGTTTACGATCAGACGTACTTCTTACGTACGCATAGTTCTGGTTTCAGGAACTTTTAATATAAAACAAGAATATGAAATTCTTGTTTTTTGTATTCATGAAACAGCTAATATTCGCATTTCTTTTTACACTTACTATATGACCTTTTATCACATGAATCATTTCAACGATGATGGTTTCAACTTGTTTTCTAATGTCATTATTTTATTCCTAAATAAGTTAATTTTCTCAATTTTGGTTACTTCTCTATGAGCTTTAATCACATTCATCTTTGTAATAATATTCACTAATAAATGTCATCATAAATTCATTGACCTAACGACAAAATTACAATTTTCACTATATTGAAATATTCCTATTAAAATGTACTCAAAATGTACTATTATTAGATAGATTTCAAATGTGTTACTAAAACATGAACGGTAATCACATTATTTTAAATATAAAATTACTAGATTAGTCTTTATTAGATGACAAAATCTTGTCTAAGTTTTCTTAACCTTCATATCTAATAAACGTTAGAAACAAGTTTACGAATACATGAGCGACAATCGCTTTTCCATTATTAATCTCTAAGGGATATCTAAATTCATGAGACATTAATAGGTGCTTAATCACTTGACCTTTGCCGCGGAAAAGTAGTAGATAAAAAATAATGGAAATCAAATTGTGGGTGGCCCTGAAAAGGGCCTTTACTCGTTCTCGCGGTCGGACGTCGTCACTATTAGTTTGTAATGGCGCCACAGATAGGACAGTGCACTGCTCGTACGTTCGGCGATGGGTCGTAGGCACAGAAGGTATGAAACATTGCTTCACATCTACAGAAAACCCAACCAACCGCATCACCGGTTTCACATGGAGGCTGCGCAAGATTACAGATGTCGCAGAGTCGATTCTCGTCATCCTGTTCTTCATTTTCGATGTCCCGTTCAGTTAACTCTTCGGAGTTAATAGAAATTACTTCCTCCTCATCGTTACTGAGCGTTTCATCCAAATCAACAGTTCCTCGTTGTATAAACGGCACTGCTACGTTAGTCGAGGTTCTTGAAAGGGTGTACGAATGCTGTTCTACATGCAAGTTTACTGGCGTTGTTGGTAGTCTACCGTGAACTATGAAGTCATGAAGTGAACTGCATTGTTCCTCCGACATTCGCCTGATTAACGCTATCACTGCATTCTTCATGCTTGGCTGACTCAATTGCATTGGGAAATAATTTTCAACTGCAATATGAGTCAGATAACCATCATAGTGTAACCACCTGTCACAAATTGACTGTACGTTCACATCGGTGTTACTGTGTGTGCAGTAAGCCAATATGTGACGGCATGGTAATCCGTTTTCAATGAAGAATGGACACGAGCACCGGCTAGTATCGACGTGTACGTAGTACGTCCCCGTGGCGTCCATAGCGGTGAATAAATCTTCCGTCAATGCAGACTGCGTTATAGGAATGCGAAGGTGTCGCTTCAGTAGTTGACAGGCAACTGGTGTCAGTCGTTCCTGAAGTCGACGTACTTCCGGCTCCTCACCAATATCGGCTTTCCCCCGACAATCCATTGAATATTTATGTAATCTTGCTTCCATCCAATATCCAGTACGAAGCAGCACATTGAAAATGGATCTGAGAACCGGTGTTTTTCGATTAAGGTGATACATCTTCAAGACTCGGTGACTGGTCTCGACGAAGTTAGTATTGCTCAGTTCAAAGAGAGTGGATGGCGGTCGAAAAGCAGTGGACCATTTGTGTTTCCGTGGTAGAAGGTGGTCTCTGACGTATCTGCCAAACGTTCCGTCCGACATTTCGATTAACGAAAGTACGTTGTTAAAACTACAAAATCATGTTATGTAGATTTTGATTTACCTTTCAACCGTTCGAGTGAACATGAGGCGAAAGAACAGTTGTACAATTTCTGATCGCACCCTCTACAATAACGGTTACTGGGTTAATGTTAATGAACGAAACACTTACCCTCTTTATCACATTCCGAACAAGGTGTACGCGACACAGAATATGGTGTGCATCCGGATACACCTGCGTAATAGCAGCAGCAATTGCAGGTGAATCATCGGTCACAATGCCTACCAGTTGTCGACTGTTGGTACACCGTTGGAAAAAATGCAGGAAGGCAGAAATTAATGTTGACGTTTCGCGACTTAAAAAGGCAATGCACATGGGTATTGCTTTAAAATTCATATCCAGGGCAACGACTTGATATAAATGGACGTTCTCGTTATTCGTTTTGTACGTCCCGTCAAAACCAATTACGTCACAAAAGTGACCGGCCAAATTCACTTGTTCAGCGGTCATGAAGAAGAAATACGATAGACAGTTCTCATCGTCCAATTCGTATTCGCAAAGCCCACCCAAGGATGTTATGTGAGCTTTCAATTTCCCGTAATCACCTATAGTGTACATTATAAATTGGCAAATTCCGTACCAGGAAGGTTCGCGTGTGAGAACACTTTGTACCGCATATTGCAGACATCTTGAGCGGTCAGACATTTGCCATAAGATTGGTAAGCAAAATTCTTTATGTGGAATGCAGCGGTACCGGAAATCAGCAGCGGTCTCACAGTTTCAAACTCCCCATCCGTTAACCTGCGCACCCATGAATTACCCTGGTACCTCAGGGAATTGCACTCGTGATTGTGATGTACATTCCCACGTACAACAGTCCAATAGCCGTCTATAATCTTACAAAACATAAATGCTGGACATTGGGTGTTCATAGAAGCCCTTCGTTCAAAAAATTATAAAACAATTTACCAAATTACCTCCTCCGTCTAATACGTTGTGACGAACCGCTAGATCTTATACGCCCATTTCGCCAACACACAAATTTAATGTAGGATTTTTGATCTCTGCCAATATGCGAATCTCTCACTACATAATGACTGTAAGTCGATCTTTCAAAATTTGTGATAGTGGTCTTTAACGCTTCAACCGATGGAAACGCAACCAGAAACAAGGTAGTCAAAAAGACTTCCTCCATTTCCGTTACGTGAGAAACACCAGCGCTTGTACTCGGCACGTTACTCTGCTCCATAATGACGATTGAGATTGTGCTTCGTCGACAAGTACTGATAATTTATAACAATTTTCAAGACATAACTAACCAATTAAATCTAATTTTTGAAACTAGCCATTTCATTGGACGAAACACGGGATGAAAAATATTGTAATTTTGGGGTGGAAAATTTTTTTTATGGGGTGGGGTTTTTTTTTTAAAAAAAATGGCCGGTCGGACAATATTATTCGTACATGTGTGATCAGATTGTTGCGTTAATATATCACATAGTTCATCTTCTTATTACACCATCGAAATGTGAAAACAATTTAAAACCTCATAACTCTGGACAGTAATAATCTAGTTTTATGGGTGAGAACAAACTGGGTTTTTTTTTTGAATACACGAAGAGGGTTCGAATTTTCGTATGTCTAAGGCTTCAATAAACCCTTTTACACTTTTATACAACACCACAAAAGCCCAGTTAAGATCAATCTTATGACCTGTTACAATTACATGTTTAACAATAGAGGATGATGGATGTTTATCATCTACTCCTATTAGGTCACTTGATTCTATTTGTTTCTTCAACCATTTAGGTACATGTTCACACACCCTAATATTGAGATCATGATTACTTCACCTATTTAAATTGATAAACACAGTGCGATGTGACGTGATCGTTTTCTTGTTGTTTTTTTTTTAAGATTTTCGATGAACCATAAACCTTGTTGTTTCCTTGATAATAACCTTTTCTGTGTAATACATCTTGTTAATGACTGATTGAAGCCTTTGTTTCAATAAAAAGTTATTTAAATCACCTCTAAATGATAAGATGATATAGACAGGCTTTATATCTGCCAAAGCTATAGTAGATCGCACTGTCTACAATAAACTATCCATCTATTTATGAATTTATGAGGTTAATCACTTTCCATTAATATTTTATTTAGTAACTTAACCTCATCATCAATGTCATCATTCCTACCACATAGTTCTGATAATCTTCATCTTCTTATAACACTAACAAAATATAAAAATGTTTTTTTAATAGTTAGTTCACTGCTAAATTAAAAGTTCATGACATAGTTCACTTTCAGAAACAAAAACAAAATGGATAAAGTCTAGATGATAAATTACTACAATTAAAATTAGTCTATTAGTATGGTATGTGAACATCATACTTTCAATAATCTTAGATTGTTTGTCATCCGATAAAAACGTCTATTCATAGAAGGATCTCTATTCATGTTATCATTATTATTGAATATGACAAAACTTAAGACTGAAGTATGTATTGCATAGATTTGATTCTTTCATACAATTTTATGGGATACAGTGAACATTTAGGATGTAGCTGAACGATCTAGACTTTGCAGATGATCTGGCTCTTTTATCTCACGCGCAACAACAAATCCAGGAGAAGAGGATCAGTGTGGCGGCAGCCTCAACAGCAGTACGTCTCAACTTACACAAATGGAAAACAAAGATTATCCGATACAACATAACATGCACCAATCAAATCACACTGGATGGAAAAGATTTGGAAGATGTAAAAACCTTCACATATCTGGGTGGCATCATTAATGAACATGGTGGATCTGATGCAGATGTGAAGGCGCGAATCGGTAAAGCAAGAGCAGTATACTTACACTTGAAGAACATCTGAAACTCAAAACAACTGTCCACAATCCAACACCAAAGTCACAATTTTCAATACAAATGTTAATACACTTCTACTGTATGCGACGGAAACTCGGAGAATTACCACAACCATCATCTGGAATATACAAGTGTTTATTAACAGTTGTCTATGCAAAATACTTCACATCCGTTGGTCAGACACTATCAGAAACAACCTACTATAGGAGAGAACTAATCCGATCTCAGCGGAGAAAGAGATCAGGAGGAACTGCTGTAAGTGAATAGGATACACATTGAGGAAAGCACCGAACTGCGTCACAAGGTAAGCTCTCACATGGAATCGTCAAGGCCAAATGAGGAGACGAGGAAGACCATAGAACACATTAGTTTGAGAAATGGAGACAGACATGAGAAGAATGAACGAGAGTTGAATAGAAGTAGAAAGGAATGTCGAGGACAGAGTGTGTTGGAGAATGCTGGTCGGTAGCCTATGCTCCATTGGGAGTAACAGGCGAAAGTGGGTAAGTCATACATTTTTAACAGAGATATGAAAAATATTTGTGTTTATGACTGAGATCATGAACCGATTGATGTCGGACCAACAGTGAAAACCTGGAACCCCTGGACGGCCGTTTCTTCCTATAGTGGGACTCCTCAGAGGTGCACATCCACGATCCCGCTCGCGAGATTCGAACCTAGGGCCTTCGGTCTCGCTTAACCTAATGGACTAGTATTAGTGAATAAATGAACTTCAAATACATTCGTTACGTTTTACATAGTTTTGAGTTGACGTTTACAAGTCACACAGAACTGTTGAAATAAATTTCATTTGGGGAAGATTACACATCTGTCATTGAGATAGAGACTGTAAGATGTATCATATAGTTTGTCGGCTTTTCTACACTTCAAGGTTCAGTTGTTTTAAATAGAAAGTAACGTTAGCCAATATTCAATGAATTAACGTTCACGAACATCATACAACAGGGTAGGTAAAGATATGATTGATATTAAAAACTGTTAGATCCTAGATTTTGGTACTACAAAACTGAATACAGAAGGAGAAGTTAAGATTTATCTTTGAATTAAATCTGAATCTACATGTAAACAGTCCTTTCTGTTTTTAATTGACCTGATGTCAGCAGGTAACAGATACTTATATTAATAAGTGAAAACCACCTGGGTATCATGACTAATGTTTAGAGATATAGAGTAACGCAATTCAGAATCTTTCTCAACGACTCAGGTGCATTCATCATCATCATCATCATCATCATCATCATCATCATCATCATCATCATCATCATCATCATCATCATCATCATCATCATCATCATCATCATCATCATCATCATCATCATCATCATCATCATCATCATCATCATCATCATCATCATCATCATCATCATCATCATCATCATCATCATCATCATCATCATCATCATCATCATCATCATCATCATCATCATCATCATCATCATCATCATCATCATCATCATCATCATCATCATCATCATCATCATCATCATCATCATCATCATCATCATCATCATCATCATCATCATCATCATCATCATCATCATCATCATCATCATCATCATCATCATCATCATCATCATCATCATCATCATCATCATCATCATCATCATCATCATCATCATCATCATCATCATCATCATCATCATCATCATCATCATCATCATCATCATCATCATCATCATCATCATCATCATCATCATCATCATCATCATCATCATCATCATCATCATCATCATCATCATCATCATCATCATCATCATCATCATCATCATCATCATCATCATCATCATCATCATCATCATCATCATCATCATCATCATCATCATCATCATCATCATCATCATCATCATCATCATCATCATCATCATCATCATCATCATCATCATCATCATCATCATCATCATCATCATCATCATCATCATCATCATCATCATCATCATCATCATCATCATCATCATCATCATCATCATCATCATCATCATCATCATCATCATCATCATCATCATCATCATCATCATCATCATCATCATCATCATCATCATCATCATCATCATCATCATCATCATCATCATCATCATCATCATCATCATCATCATCATCATCATCATCATCATCATCATCATCATCATCATCATCATCATCATCATCATCATCATCATCATCATCATCATCATCATCATCATCATCATCATCATCATCATCATCATCATCATCATCATCATCATCATCATCATCATCATCATCGTTGTATATGCAGTCAGTCAGCGCCCAGACTTATTATAGGAAGTGATGTAGTTGAGTGTATTGATCACTTCACTTATCGTAGAAGTCTCATCAACCCTGATGTAATGGTATTTCATGGAATCTTGATACGAATTCAGAATACACGGTTGGTGCTTGCCTACTTGCGTATCTTGAGTCGTAAGTAGGATATCCGTTTATCAAACAAAAGACGATTGTACTGTGAAATAGTTTGTTCTGTTGTTCTCTATGGATGTAAGTCATGGACTTTAAAAGTAAGGGATATTCGTAAATTACTAGCATTGGATTATCGATGTCTTCGAAGCATTGCTCGTGAAGTTTAGGAACATCGAGTTAAACTTTGAGTACTAAATAAAAGTGGCAAGTCAATTGAAGATGGTGTGAATCATTATCGACTGAGACGGCTGAGACATCTATTACGTATACTCATCTACCGAATAACTCGACGTCCGATGATGGCTCATGTAGAAGTTGGTTAAAAGAAATCTTATGCCTACCAAACATAGGTATGGGATCAATCCATGAACACAAAGACTGTTGGACTAAACCAGGTAGGTAGGTGCATGCCACCTGGTTGTAGTCCGCGTGGGTATCATGACTAATGGTTAGAGATATAGAGTAACGTGATTCAGAATCTTTCTCAACGACTCAGGTGCATTCACTCATCATCATCTTCTTCTTCTTCGACTAGATCCTAACTTTCTAAATTTTTCATAAACTGCTTTTTATTATTTCCCCAACCTGTATTTTCCTCTCAAATTATATCTTGGATGTCTAATTTATTCTATCACCATTAATACTATTACTACCTTCACTACTCTGAGATCAACGATTGTATGAAATATACGTATTCGAAATTGATAAAAAGTGACTCGAGATGAACGAATAGATTGGCCTGTTCTGAAGCTAGAATAAGCTATGTGGTGTTAACATAGCGACCGACACTACACTGTTACTACCTCTACTACTCTGAGATTTGCCCTGACATTTCATTTAGCTGTGGTGATGGGGTATAGCAATTTGAACAAGCATACTTATGAGACATGTTCTGTGTTGCTTATGACTGACTGCCTGACTAATTCATCATTGAAATACAGTTGTATAGTACAATATCTTGATTATAAAGCAATGGATTATGTACTCGGTTTGAAGCATATCGCTTGTGATATTACATAACTTGTGAGACCAAACAAGGTGGAGAGTTTATGAATCAAATGACATTGATTAAAAGCTAAATGCTTTAACCACTGAGTTGCCGTTCTAACTTTCAAATATTTGTATGCTCTTTAATTTGAAAGTGACATTTTGGCAAGTATTAACAAATGAATGAAGCCTGAAACCACATCAATAGTAAGATAAACAACTTTATCAGGGTAATATATTTCAAGACTTTATCGACTCAATTCATTAAATGGTCCAACCTGAACCCAATTTACACTTCATGTTTTCTTACATGACTAAAATTTCTGAATTGTACACCATAAAGAATTCTTTCCTTTTTCAGAACAGATGTACGTACAACACCCTTATGAGTCACCGTTTTTAAAAGATCTAGACGGAGTATGCTAAGTTTTAAGCACCTAAACTATATACAAATAGCTTTCTTTACATACAACAGTTGTCATATCATGGTATCATAGAAGCAAGAAACTTTAAAGACATGATTTACGTAAAAATGATAACAGTTTTTTGCAAAAGTTAGTGATATATGATGTTATTCTCCCATTAGGTATCAAGCACACATCTGAAAGATATCATTTGGAAGAATGTGAACTATTAAGATTCGTAATATTGTGATTTATTCATATTTTAACTATGAAGCCGGTATTTAATTGAAGTTCTTGCAGAACATGATTGAAAGAATGAGGAATTACATTCCAATCACAGAGAATCCAACAATTGCTTCACCCCATCACAGAAGTTCTGTTAAGTATACGAGATTGGAATTAGTTACAACAGTTTCAAACACTTAGGGATGGCTTCTTGTATTTCAGTATAGTAGCCGGCTACCAATAATTGGTTCATACGCCATTTGTTTAGAATCAGGGTTTTCCAACTCCCCTAGTTGAACTTTCCGTGTCAACCAGCGTATATTCGCTGTTTGTCCTCTCAATTTCGTAAACAACAGTATTGCCGCGAGAAGGTAGTGAGTAAGATTTCCCTGATAGTGGTTGTAGGCACGTGGCAATGTAAGAGTATTCTATGTGGGAAAGCTGACTCTCCCTACCCTCTGCCGTATCAGGGCCGTACCAAGATTCGAACCCAATACCATACGTTACGAACTCCATCGCATTATCCACTTAACTACTGAGAAGATACAAGCAAACAATACCAAGTGAATTAACTATTAGTGTATAGATGAACATACATATTAATGTATCTCATATCACTAAAGACCCTTCTCATAGGTAAGTTCATAAAGAAAAAACAAACAAACAATAAGTGAATTAATTAATAAACTTCTTATTTTATTTCATTGAACAAGAATAGAATTAACAATATTCATTGTTACCATGTGTTAGCAGTTAGTTATTAGTAGTGAATAAAACAAGCAACAAAACAACAAAACTGAGCAAAAAATAACAACAAATTAGTTCAAATGTCTAGTTATATAATATACCCTTATGGGCCAGGGTAATTTTACATTGGCTTTTAAAAGAACCAGGCATCATAGAGACTTTCACATGACAACTCAAACAGTATAGCTCAATCCCGTATAACAGGAGAGCTAGATACCGTTAAGGCTTAAATTTTATAGTTCAAGCAATATAGCTCAATCCTACATCACAGGAGAACCAGACACTGAATAGGCTTTAACTTTATGTTAAAAAGTCTACAATATTTAAATATAAAATCAATTTAGTCGGTTAATGGTAATTTGAAGGGAAAAAAAATTAAAATAATACTGATTTGTTTTTTACATTCTAAATCTGTGAAATTATTTTTATAAAAATTGAACTAGTTACTACATGATATATGAAATGTATATGATGTGTTAGTTGCTGGGCAAATTGTACTCTTCCCCCCCCACGAAAGGTAACAGATATATAAGTAAGTAAATAAGTGTAAGAGTTTTATCGATTGTTTGTTTGTTTGTTTATTTTTATACAAAGTATAGATTTATGCAAACAAACAAAAAAAACAACAACAGAGAAATTAACAGAGGTAAATATCTATGGAACAATGGAACATTTTTATGAATTAACTATACAATATTGATCATGAGAAATGTAAACAATACACTAGATGTAATATGAACGTGTATACAATGAACTCCGCTATAGTAAAAGTGTAGAACTAACCAAACAACAAACAAAACTCTATTGAATAAACTGAGATGCTTATTTGAATTACCATCTATCTATTCATCTATGAATATATATGTCAAATTCGGTAAAAGGAGAAGAAGAAGAGGAAGAAGATGAAAAAGAAGAAGTTGCTCAACTATCACCAATTCAATTTTCATTCCACTAATTTGAATAAATTTAAAACAATCTCTTCTGTTCATTGTCGTTGCAACAGTCTCCCACAACAGCAACAACAATAACAACAATAACAACAACAACAGAAAAAGAAAAAAATAAACATTTTCGTCAGCATAAAAACTACTTTATAAATATCCAATGAAAAGAAGTAACCATAATCCAATGATGAATAGATAACTTCCAGTTGGTTTTATTCCTTGAAAACAAAACAAAAAGAGAAAGAAAAAGTTTATTCATGTAAAATGAGCATTAAATGATACGTTGTATTTACATGACAAATTGTTGTTGTTGTCTATTCTTTTGATGGAGTTTTGTTCTCTGAACTGGATAGTTTGATCGTGGAGATTTCAATATTTTTCTGAACGATATCATCAGTACAAACTTCAGGTAGAAGTGAAGTGTTTGAATTTTTTCATATATAGTATGAAAGACGATGAAAACTCCACGATCAAACCATCCAGTTCAGAGAACAAAACTCTATCAAAATCATTCATCTGAACTATAAATCTTCTTCATCATCTGAAAATCACATGTTATCTATATGTGTACGTCGAGAAATGGAGACAGACATGAGAAAAATGAACAAAAGTTGGATAGGACTGGAAAGGAAGGCCCAGGATAGAGTGGGTTAGAGAATGCTGGTCGGCGGCCTATACTACATTGGTAGTGTGTATTCTATACTGAGCGGATATATTTTACTGTTTCAGTCATAAATGTGTACTTTCTTCAAAGTTAAAAAAATACTCAGGTGTAAATGTTTGTTAATAGTGAAAATGTTTATTATCATTTAGTCATTCTTGTCGATATAGAACTTGGAATCAATGTCAGTATAACTTATATCAACATACAAAAACAGGGACAGATGGAGAAAATGAATAAGATGAAAATTAAAGAAAAAGAAAATTCGCCTTCAAGTGGAAATCTGAATACGAGAAATGAAAATGAAAAGCACTAAATGAAACGTTAGAAATGACAACCTGTAGACTATTGAATCGGCATCCAACAATTTTAATGTGTAACTTAAGGTTAAGCGTTCATGTACGAGACCGAAGATTTTGGGTTCAACTCCCATACGTGGGATCATGAATGCGCACTGCTGAGCAGTCCCATACTAGGACGAAACGGCTGTACAATGTTTCCAGCTATTCAGTAGTGCTCTAGTATTCAATTACTAAAAATTAGTACAATCCCCACAAACCTCCCATTCTAATAACAATGTCATGTTTGTTTAATCCCTTAACACTGATCGAATTCTATTTGTCAGGTTACAATGCAGACATTAATCTAAATGACTCGAGCTATGTATCGATTTTAAGTAGTTGATTTACGGTAAATTATATTTCTACACTAGTTCATAACACCAAGTACACATTTCCAGGGAATATTTATGTTTCTCAGAAGCATTATCCTTACATCATATGAATGTTAATGTAGCTAGGCTTTATTAGCATCATGAAAACACGACCCATTAAACTTTCAATTGCATAATAAAGATGACAAAACTAATGTTTACGATCTGAAGAGTTTAACATATATATACGTTCTATTGTGGGACTCCTCAACAGTGCGCAACCAAGATCGCACCTATCGAGATTCGAATCCAGGACCTGTCAGTCTCACATGTGAACTTTTAACCTCTAGAATATTCCTCAATCATTACAAAGTATCCCAATTATTTATTCAATTTCATTCGGAACTAGATTTGTTATCTTAGTTCATTAGAGTCATTAGAAATATATTTGCATACTACTTGAGACTTCCAAAATAATCATTAGAATATGCTTTTTGTTACCATAGAGTAAACGTGTCGTTGCTATCATTTTAATAAAACTGTCGTTTTACAAAGACTGTTTACAGACTCGTTAAGAATTGGTGACAAATCTATCGTGATTACTTTGAGCACATTCCTGTGATACACCATCATTAAACAATTGATTTGTTTTCTGTATTGGAATAAAATATTTTGAAGTATGTTTTCAGTTATAAGCAAAAATGGATAGTGCCTAGCCATGGAATCAAGTTTGATGTGCGTTTCGTCCTATTTGGGACTCGTAAATTGGCTGTACTTACATCTCAGAGTTGATGTTCACTCTGGAAGTTGAACTAAGTACTGTTCGCTTCAAACACATGGGGTTAAACACCTAGCTACTGAGTCCAGATATCCAGTTGCTTGTGCAATGAGGTGAAGTTTAAATCCAATTAGTACTGTTTACTTGAATCTCCCCATTGATGTTTTGCACTGCAATTGAGAAGTCTCTTGTAGGCATATGCACATACTGTGCGTATTGCTTGGATGGCGTTTGAAGCGAACGGTATGGATTCGAGTCTCAGGGTGAACATCAACTCCGAGGTGCAGGTGCATCCAGCTGAAGAGTCCAAAATAGGACGAAGCGTGAGTCCTGTTTTCCACTGTTAGCTACTATCCATCTTCGTTAATAGTGGAAATAATTTATATTTTGTTAGACAGGACGTGGACTGATTTCACCATGCTTGAAACGTCTCATTCAAATAAGAGGTTAGAAGAAAGTTTTCATCAGTATTATAATTTAATAATGAGGAATGTATTTAAAAAGAAAGTATACTGATCTATTTGTAACCCCATGATGAAAATAATCAAGTTTCAATTATTCATTGAAGGACTAAAAATTGAAGTTTCAATGTAATCCAGCAATCAAGTACACGTCTAGAAACTGTGCTTCTAGAGCTAGCAAAAAGAAATAAAAATGCTGAAACAGTGTTAGGACTGCTTAACCCAATAAATGATAATCGAGTTTAAACCAGAAAGTGACCTCTCCAACAACGTGCCTTTCAGCGAGCGTTGATGCATCTATTGCAACTCAAATTCACTACTCTTCACTCCAAACGTCAGATTATCTGGCCATCAGCGGAACGCTGTACTTTACAGAGAAAGACTACAAAACATAACTCACCACTAGAACATTCACATGTATCGTTTAATATATCTGTCATGTCTTTCATTTCATGTAACCAAAACGCACAGCGATCACGGTGTAATCCACTGCCGAGTTTAGTCTCATTTTCTAGAATCAAGTGATCTGGGTCGCTTGATATAAATCCATCAGTACGACGAAACAAAGGCCATTCTGGTATAGACACGTGACCATCATCACTTTTAGATGGATGTCTAAAAACGAAAACAAAGTCAAACAAAAGAATTTCAGATATGCCTAAACAATTAATGGAGTTAAAAACAAGATTACAGAGTAAAATAATATCACTTTGTTTTTAAAAACGTGTTCATCATGTCTTAATTTTACAAGATTACCACCAAATTCTTGAACATCCATACGATTTGATGTTATGCTATTTTGTTGTGGTAGTCAGAAGAGACATCAGCCTCGTGACTGTGGAGATCTCGGCTTTGATTACGAGATGTCATAACTGTTCTGATAGAAAATCCTTAAACTCAGGAAAAAGAGGTTTAATGGTTTGATTTGTTTATTCTGGTTGGGGTTTTTGGCGAGGCTGTTTTTTTACCGGATGAGGTTGATGACCACACGCTAAGCACTCTTTCTTTACCCGGACTTGGTACCGGCAGTATCCCTAGAAGTGCTACAGACGGACGATAGGTATCATGTACAAAATATTTGTTGAATGTATATATACTTCTCAGAATTGTGATAGAAGTCTAGATTCATGAAAAATCTTAGGATATGCACATATGGCGAACAAACCAAATGTCTAGACATTGTATTTTCGTCTCAGCAAACAACTGCAGTTAGAACATGAGTGATGTCATGTTGTCTGGTCAGCGGTTGAAACGCTCATAAACCAGAGTGAACTGTAAACGTATACACTTAACCCTACAAAATAACGTAACAAGGTAAACTGGATTGGAATCTCTTCTTGTAGAATAACCATATTTACAACTTTTCATCTATATTTACAGACTGTCGAAGTGATTCAGACAGCATGAATTGATGACCATGACTCCTGGTCAAGAAAACGATTCCTAGGATCATCATTTGCATTGTTATTTTATGAGTAACTTGAGTGAGATATTAAATCAATAATATAAAATGCATTACTGTGAAACATTAATATATCGGCAAAATTCAAAAGCAAATCTACCGCGTAAATTATTCGAGAGGAAACAATTTTCGAGTCTGGGATTATTTGTATGCTTAGTGTTGTATAGGAAGACTGTAGGCTGACCATTGATAATGAACTAAGCACACTACAACTACGTGATACATCATAGTTGGCTTACCCAGTTTTAGCAAAATTAGTCCACATTTTCATCATTCTGGAACTGAATTCCTTTTCAGGATCTGTAAAATTATAAAATTGTTTTGAAAATTCCGGATCATGTGGTATACCAAAAATATATTCAATTTCATAGCCATGCATAACACCTGTCCATGTAGGCATAGGAAGTGATTCAGTACGTTTGTTAAAATGATATAGGAATACTTTAGCATCTGGTAATCTAGCAACTTGTTCAGCAAAATTTAAAGTTGGACAAGCAAAGTCTAAATCACCGGCAAATTTATCTAATCGTCTGAGAAGTTCTTCATCTTTGATGTGTATGGTATCCGGATCGTAGTAACCTTGTTTTGGACTGGAAATGAGTGGTAAATTATAATAATATGATGGTAATTTTGCTAGACCAGGTCTCATATGAGATTCCTCTATTATCTGTGTGGCTGTGATCCAATAGAAATCGGCTATTTCTTCTCCCTGTTTAAATGGTTGTTTCTTACCAGCCAATCCTATAGTGTCAGGCATAATAACTGAACCATTTGGGAATAGGAATTGCGTATCTTTTATTGAAATGCCTGGGAGGAGGAAAAACATTGCCTCGTTGGTGTTAACACCAATCAATAATTCTGGTTTATCTTTTAATGCATTTTTGTCATGAAAAATTTGATCAGGATGTTTCGTCATAAGATGACCATCAATAACTGGTTGCAATGGAACATCGAAATACAATCGAGTACTTGTAGACTGGCTTAATAGGAACGGTTCATGTTGATGATTTTTGGGTCGTAGATATTTTTGAACAGTATCATAACGACGTTTACCAATAGCCACATTTATACTATCCAGTTGGTTAACAAGTGTTAATGGATCCAACTTTCGAAGACATTCCAAACTAGCTTTACGGTCTACAGAGGGTGATTGGCAGCCACATTCCCGAGTGAACTGAAGCAGGAAGGAAAGAAAAACGGGTTGTGATGCTTTTAAAATTTATCGTACACGTTGATATCTCGACAATATAGAAGCAATGTGGTCGAGATTAAAAGAATTTTTGTGACCTTATCATGGTCCCAGAAGTCGACTATTATAAAGTCACATGGATGAGTTCCTGTATCGTATGCATTACAATTCCAAAACTGCAGAGCCTCTTTCTAACCTTGAAAAGTTTTTAAACCATTTATGCACTCAAATTTGTTTGGTTTTGTATAATATATTCTTACACTTTACTGTTTTCTGATTAGCTGAAATTTCTCAACGTCACTCAAGATTTGCCCAAAGGCCATCCATAAATTATAGTCTGTCCATGAAGTAATTACCTGTGCATCCCAACGAGATATCTATGTAATAGTACGATCTCATATATTTCAAGTTATCTTCATCTGATATGTAGAAACACATGTGCGACTTTCTTCATAGAGATGGTAGGTTTTCAAAATAACTACGTTCTATGTATTTACCAACCGAGCCGTCAGTTACAGTTTGATGTAACTCGATACAAACTATATGTATTGTGTAAACCCTGGCTGATGATATTACTTAATTACTCAAATCACAGTAGATGATGTGTGACTGGAACGGGAGAACATGTGCTAAAAAAAATTGAGATTTTCGCTATCAACATTCCATCAATTTATTCTTGAACAATGCATCTCGAAAATGATCAGCACATGTCATTCAATTCACTGCAACCTAGTTTTCAGGCAATAAAATTTATTCTATTGTATATATTTTCCAAAGAAAATGTAATACTGTTTGAAAATACATTGGTCAGAATAGGCTATCAGATGAGATAAAAGTTAAAACTATTAGTACTTAGAATAAGTGGGATGAAATGAGTAAACAAAAGCATTTGTCATAGTGTTATCATCGAGCTATTGGTAAACACAAGAAATACTATTCGAAGACAACTTTTAGAAGTTGAAAGTTACAAAGGTGTCAATTCATAGTTCAGATAAGAAGTTAAACCAGGGTCACGTTTTAATGTTAATTATTTAACTGATACAATAGAGAAAACCATAATTTAAATAATAAATCAAATCTTTTCACATAGGAACTAATCGTGGTGAGGCAATAATTTGTGGATGATGTTTGAGCGGCATTAGACTGACTTTGAGAGTGTCTACCTCCTCACTGGAGTTATAAAGTAGGTTGAAGAATAAAGACTACGATTCAGAGTTGATGGTTAGGGTCAAGAATCAGATTTACGGTTTTCATCACGAACTGACATCAGCTATAATACCAAAAACTCTGTTTCGCTAAGTGGGTGAATGAGTGAACTTCGCGGCAAAATTTAAGACCTATTATCCTAAATCCGATTGTGATTGCATTTGTAAATGTTTTGTAAACCAAGTATTCAGTCAAATGTGAACTCGACTTTTAAACTGAATTATACATCCTTTTTGTACACAAACTACTTCTATATACATTTCACGAAGCCAATCAGAACTATTCGAAATATCAAACTCAACTCCCCCCACTCCATCTCATTCCAGGTAAAATAATGAATAATTTGCCATATATAGTTCATACCATATATTCTATCTCTACTACTGATTAGTAGTATAGACTACTCAAAGAAAAGATACAAATTCAAAGGAAACAAATAGACCACAGGTATACCATACAAACATTGTCATTCATGTATATTATATGTTTATCAGATTACTATATCTGCTATCTACAATACACGTTGTTGGTATTACTACAAAACAACCAAGTTCATTTTAATAAATATTATTGATGGTTTTGAGGAAACAGTGTTCTAATAAAGGACTGATTCTCTTCAGTATAAGGGGTCTGTATAGATTATTGGCACTTGAAGTTTACACAACACACACTGACTTTGGTTAAATATCCACTGGGAACCAGAAAGCACTAGGCAGATATTTCGTCTTTGAATTGAATTTTATTACTAGTGAGGTGAGTAAGATTTGGTTACACTGCTAATAAGTTTTATGCTAAAATGAAACAGCTGATTAGTGTTCCCTCTTATTCCACAATGATTCAAATACAATCCGTGATATCAACTAAAAAAAGGGATTTATTAATTCACGTTACATTGACACACACACTCAATTCATTAGAATAAGTTTTTCTTCTATGCGTTTTCCTTGATTGATGGTGACTTCAAGTACTTAAAATGATAAAAGAATCGATGTAATACCTGTAAGTCCATTAAAGTTTATCAATAATGTTTATCTTGTTCAGCATAACTGTCGTTCACATTAGTGATTTTGAAGAAACGTTTTGGTAGTTTCACAAAACACTGTAATCAGTCTTGTTTTCCAATGAACAATTGGAACCATGTTATCCGATATTAAATCTGCAGTCTAATTTGATATGTTAGAATAACTAACTAATGTTTTTTCGAAACCACCACTTTGTCTACAGTTTCTGTATATGAAACTGTAACTAAAATGATCAGTTTTTTTTATGAAGATTTTGTCCACTTTTCTCTTCATGTACTGACTACTTTTAAAGATTGATAATATTCTGTCAACGTTACAAACTGAACAACCGCAGATTAATCATCAACCAGTGAATTGTGTGTAAAAGAATATTCCATTATCATCTGAATAGTTCACTTGTAGTTATGATGATTGAAATGCTGAGATGTTTCTTCTTTTTTATTCAAAGAAATCACTAGGTCTCTTACATTTGAAATATACTTCATTCAATGATCTGGTACAAATTTATGTACTTGATTCTGAATCATCATGTTTCCGTAATGAGTAGCAATACTACCAAGTTCACTAAAGTCAAGCAAATATCAAGGGATTGCAACTTGTGATTCGATCATTCAAAGCTAAGTACTTTAAGAATTCGTATTTACATAATAAGAATCTATCTTCAGAGTTTGATGATTCCTTCTAAGATGAAACCAGTGTTCGATGTCACAATTTGATAATGAGAGAAATCTATGAACTCCATAATGTGACTTTGAAGTTTCCATTCAACTGTAACACACTTTAAGACAATATATTACAGATCATGGAGCTTCATTGATCCCTAAATTAATGGATATATATATGTGTATATCGAAATTAGTTTATATGATCACAAATACATCAGTATTACATTACTGAATTACTTATTAGATTGTAACTAAAATCTGTGTTGTATAATAAATAACTAACACTTTACATTTATAGGATAGGAGTTACTTACTAAAGTTCATTCATTAATGGAGTTGTAATGAAAGTACCACACACACACACACTCTCTCTGTTGTGCATTACAAAGGTAGCAAACACATTAGTAATATGGCTAATATACAAAATCAGTATGATTGTGTACTGTAGAATCATTTAGAATAAATTAAGTGATGTGGTTTCTTACTACCAATATGGTTGATTGGGTGTTTGTTTGTTGAAAGAATTTCAGCTTAATGTATGTATGTAGGAAAATAGTTCATCAGCAAAACTTTATACTGGAATGAAAGAGTGAAACACTTAATTGTTTTTCAATCAATGCTAATTGACTGAAACTTTGTTACGATAACTAAAACAGAGGAATCTGTTACAAGATAGTCTCCGAATGAACTTGATAAACATGAAATAGTTCATTTTACGAAGATTATGTGACAGACTGAGTTAGAGAATGCTGATCGGCGGCCTATTCTTCATTGGAGGTACTTCAATTGGAAATGAAAATCGGTAATGTGAAGAAAAACAACAACGGAACTATTATATACGTAAAAAATAAATTTAAAAGTTCATTGTTACACTATTCAAGCATTTTAAATGATTTTTCGTTTTCATAATTGAAATCATCAGTCGAACTAATCTATACCACCATTGAAAACCTGGAACCATTAGACGACCATTTTGTTTGAGTATAGGCCTCTACAATAATGTATATATATTAGAGTTGTTGAGCTGAATGGTTAAATTGTAAATGGCCCACATTCAAATTCTTGTTAAAAGCTGCTAACCTTCTTATTCTTCATTTCTTTAAACTCGGCTTTAATGAATAAGTGTCAACATTTCAAGAAATGAACATCATAATTAAGAAGTTTCGTTCGCGCACAGGACTGATAGACCTTGAGTTCGAACCCCGCGAACACAATCGTGGATGTGTATTGTTTAAGAGTCACACATGGTGGTTTAGCTCCAAATAACTCATGATCTCAACTATTAGAATTACTATAATATCCACAAAACCCCTTCTGATACTAATCACATATATATTTCCACTACACATTGCACATGAATTCCAAGTATATATATAACTAATTAATATTCGAAAGTATCTAAGAGGAACATCATAGATAATGGTAAATGATCACAACTCAGTAATATGTAGTGCTTTCGATATGTTTGTTAAATGTTTTGTATAAAAGTGCAAAATGGCGTATACTAAAGTTCAAACCGATTTTGTTGTCACCCATAAATCTACCCTGATAATATTAGCTTATTATTATCCAAAGTGATGAGGTTTCAAATTGTGTTCACATGATCCTTCTCTCTTCTTACTCTCCATTTCTAGTCTAGTTGACCTTTTATTCTTCAGATTGTTGTTCGAAATATATTGACCTAATCATACAGTTCATTTATTTCTCGATTTATTTATTGCGTCATTACAACCAACTCTTTTAAATTACATCATACATAAATGATTGATTTCAATTCACATCTTCCTTTATTACCATTAATCTATTTTCATGAGTTCTAATCACTATCTGAATGTTCTCGAACTTCCCCTCATCAACTCTATCGGAATCTTTGCTACATCATGATACACATTTATTCACTCATTAATCACCCTCTTATGTAATAAGTATGTCAATATCTGTAATAATGTTGAATTTCAAATATTTTAGGTTATAAACAGCTGATGAGAACCTAACGAAATCAAATGAATCCATTTATTATTCTGAATCAATCTTTGTTCTTGCTCAATTTAAGATAATAAAGGGAACTATGTGTAAGAAAATTCTGATAATC